TCAGGGGACGTGTATATGGCATTGATTTTAGGAACCGGGAGATTGAAAAAGATGCTTGGTCGGTGTCACGAACGCACCCTACTCCAAGAGTGTGCGTGACGTAGTTGTGGTGGTGAAAGGGTTAAAGTACACTATTTGTCTGCACTAGACCGGAAATAATGACAAAATCCCCCTTTAACACCACCCACACTTAAACATAATAATATAACTCTTACTACTTTAACGCTGCCACCACCAAGACAATTTATAAATGGGGTGCCTTGGTCCCCCAGGTAAATCAATAATAAAACCCACCAAATATTACTTAATACAATATTTAAGGAATTATAAAAATACTAACTAGTCTCTTCAGGTAACGTGATCCTTAACCAGACAAAGGCAAAACTTAATAAATGAATGTTTATTATGAGCAAAAGATAGTCACAGTGCATATAAAAATATATGATAAACAAATTATTTACACCAACAACAGATAAAAACAAAAAGGATAAAATACAGAAGTCCTGATTACTCACTTAGGTTTTTCAAAGTACAACTTCTGTCCAGGGGGTCTCTGGCAAGGAAACGTGGTGACTCACTCAAAATTAGATCTTGGCCCCAAGCAAGTACACCAACACCCTTCAGGATCATTAGATATATACCCTGTGGTTTATCAAGTCTTGCCCAGGGGTGGAGTTAAGGCATACCTACAGTAATAATAACTGACCACCTCCTTTGTTCCAGACCACTGTCAATCCAAATGGAAACATTTGACTCTATCTTCTTTTTTTGTACCTGCCACAGAAATAATAATTGCATCTACAAATTTGTTATTATTTTCCCATTCCATAGACATGTTGCACGTCCCACCCACGATCCAATAGGATGGACATCACAATTCCTTTCCCTAGGGTCAAGTTAGGCCACTCATGTTTGGACTTGGTTAGAAGATGGCGCTTGTCACATTCCAAATATAACAAAAATGAGGCTTAATTATTATTCTGTGGGGGTAAATATGAATGTTTTTGTCCTTCCTTTGGATATGATACTAGAACAAAGCTAATGGCATTTACATATGAAAGAGATTTACTCACCACTTACAAAGTACAGGCCAAATGGATGAAGAGACATTCAGACTTTTTCCAAGTGTAGAACCTCACACCTTGCAGACTTCACATCCATACAGTAAAATCCTTTTCACATTCCTATGCCATTCATACTACCCCTTCTGTCATCTGCCCTCTGTGGGGGCCCCCGCTTCAAAAGATGTAACCCCTGTTGACCTCAGCAATAGCATCTCTGTAATTTGTGCCATTTACTACAAGAAATCACATTAAAAGATGATATTCCATAGTGTCATAATAAATTATACACCCTTGCCGTGACAGTCGGTCCTCCTACTTCAAATTTTGTGCCACCAGATAGGAGTGGTGTGTTAAGTAGTACTATTCTTATCAGTTTAATCCCTGTTACGTCCCCTATCCGTTGATGTGGAGCAAGACACAGCAGCAGAAGAGCCCTAGGAGGTTATGGAAGAGGATGGAGTAGGAGAAGTAGAGGAGGTGGCAGTAGGCCTGCCTGCAAGTCGTGGCGGTGTCACCAACTCCTCTGCAGAGCCACGCATTCCATGCTTGGCAGCCGTCAGCAGGTTTACCCAATGCACAGTGTACGGGTGGCCTGCCTCTGCCTGTAATTTTTTTTTCGATTAGTGGTACTAAGCATGCAAGCTACTGTGACACCAGATATGAGTGGCACTGTGAACTGGCAGAGGTTGGCAGAGTACACGCTGTAGGGCTGACACACCCGCTTGAAGACAACTAACTGCTATTCAATCTATAACAGTGAAAAAAGAAGTTTTTGTTTTTAAATGCAAAAAGCTATTGTGACACCAGATATGAGTGGCACTGTGAACTGGCAGAGGTTGGCAGAGTACACGCTGTAGGGCTGACACACCCGCTTTGAGACAACTAACTGCTATTCAATCTATAACAGAGAAAAACGTTTTGGGGTTTTTAAATGCAAGCTATTGTGACACCAGATAAGAGTGGCACTTTGAACTGGCAAAGGTTGGCAGAGTACACGTTGTTGGCCTGACACACCCGCTTGAAGACAACTAACTGCTATTCAATCTATAACAGTGAAAAAAGTTTTTTGTTTTTAAATGCTGTTGTGGAAATAAGGTCTGCACATATTTCCTAGTTAGTGAAAATGTCTATTTACTCATTCCACGATATATTATATATAAAGCTATACACACGTGCTCTAATCAAGATGGCTGCTAGAAGCTTCTAACCCCTTCCTCCCCCTGCCCCTTTAAACACCGACTAACTACCTCGTGCAGCAAGATGGCGCCGGGAAACCGTGGGAGACCCTCATGGACCTGGTGACATGAAATATTAACATATTTTTAGCTAGTAAAATGTCTATTTACTTCATTTAGTTATACTTAATATTATTCAATAAATTACTAAACTGACCACTAGATGCCACTCGGGAGTACCCCACCCATCGACCAAACACTCTAATTTTCAAGATGGCGCATGACGACAGTAATGACATAAGATGGCACACCCAGTAGGACGTGCTTTGAATAAAACACTTAACACTTAACCAATTATTGATGTATTATTTCATGTTATCTCTGACAATGCTTATGATGTAATTTTGCTTTAAAAGGGACCTGCCGTCCCCTCTGAATAAACTTTCCTCAAGTTATTCAACAACCTGGAACCTGTGTCTGGTGTGAATTACTTCAGGGAGCGTGCACGCGTTGTTTCATTGATTTGGCCAGGGGCAGATACACAAAGAAATAATCAATACTTTAATTGATTTTTCCACTTCAATTGGCGCCCATAACGTGGGGCCCCCGGATTTGCCGGTTCGGAGGGCCGGATACCAAGGACCAGAGCGGACCCCCAGAAAATGGGACAAGCGGAGCCTGATCACCTCCATAATACAGCCGTTGCCTGTGTTATTCTCCTGTTTTGTGTCGGTCTGTCTCCGAGTCCACTTCCGGCTTCCAGAAGGCTACTAGAGACAGGTATTTAGCTCATCCGGGGTACCTTTTTAAAGTGAACCTGTCGATTGTCTATCTGCCTCCTGTATTTGTTTGAATGTGTGTGACGGCCGGAGTGTGTGTTTTCCCCCTTTTTAAAAGACAATAGCTTGACTGCCTAGCGGGCAGGGAACGCATTACAGCCGGTGGGGCTGGGATATGTTAGCTTGACTGCCTAGCGGGCAGGGAACGCATTACATATGTTAGCTTGACTGCCTAGCGGGCAGGGAACGCATTACAGCCGGTGGGGCTGCTTGACTGCCTAGCAGCCGGTGGGGCTGCATTTTATATGTTAGCTTGACTGCCTAGCGGGCAGGGAACGCATTACAGCCGGTGGGGCTGGGTTTTATATGTTAGCTTGACTGCCTAGCGGGCAGGGAACGCATTACAGCCGGTGGGGCTGGGTTTTATATGTTAGCTTGACTGCCTAGCGGGCAGGGAACGCATTACAGCCGGTGGGGCTGGGTTTTATATGTTAGCTTGACTGCCTAGCGGGCAGGGAACGCATTACAGCCGGTGGGGCTGGGTTTTATATGTTAGCTTGACTGCCTAGCGGGCAGGGAACGCATTACAGCCGGTGGGGCTGGGATTTTGTTTGATTACTGCAGAGTTTCATTGGTACTTGTGTTATAACGGGGCCAGCCTGGTGGGGGAGGGCTGAGGATTGCTACATTTTAAATATTTGGTACTAGTGGTGTTAACATGTACATGGCCATTTTACTCTCTGTCATTCTGTGGTTTTTTGTTTAATTGTTGTTACAGTGTGGGTACCCTTGGTGTGTGTGTGTGTGTATGTATGTATATAGTGTGGCTAGTTCTGGATTCTGGGGTTTACACTCATCTCTATGTTTGTGATTTTTGCAAATGTCTTCTTGTTAGTGTAACCACTTTCATCTTTTCATTTGTCCTTTATCTCTCCTGTGTTTGTTGCCCAGAGCTGTGTTAGTCACCCACGCTCGCCCCCTCCGGTCTGTGGCCACCTCCCCCGGGTGCACAGACCATCGTGACTAGTCAGTCGAGCACTGTAGACTTTCCTACTTCTTCTTCCCTCTCACTTGGTCTCCTTTACTTGGCAGACCTCGCTTGGTCAAAAAGGGGCAAGTACATACTAGACCAGCTAAGGGGTATTTGGCTTGTGATATTGTTAAAGAGAGGGCAGGGGAAGAAGCTATGCTGAAAATGAAAAAGTTAGCAAAGATTTCTGGTTTCCAAACGTATAAATCTCTGTCCTTCTGTCTTGTTACTTTACGGAGCTCACATGGTTAATCTTCATGCCTGCAGTCTCTCTCTCTCTCCTTTTTGCACTGTCACACTTTCTCCCACCCCTACTCCCCGCTTGCCTACATTTCTGCATTTCGGAGCTACTGATAAGAGTTAGAGAGAAAATATTTTAATTGTGTAGTATTGTGTACATTGTTCCATACATAGACGTTGTCAGGCAGGTTATGGAGCTATAATTGTGTAATATTATTATTATTGTTGCCATTTGCATGGCGCCAACAGATTCCGTAGTGCTATATATATATATTTAAATTAATTTTTGAGATAAGGTACTGAGGATTGCATTCAGTGTTGAATACGGGATTTAGGAAGGTGTAGCTTGTAGCTTGTTAAGGGGAATATGCGATGTTGTTATGTCTGTATAAGAGGAGGAAAGTGATTAATGGTTAGAGGATGTTAAGGGAAATTGGTTGAATTCCGTGAGTTTATCTTGCTTCATGTTAAAGTACATTTTTCAATGGATAGCTTTATGGGCTGTTAAATGCATGATGTTCTCAACTGTCTTATTTAACCTGCCAGGTCTGTTCATAGTTTAATATTTCATTTTGCAGAACGGAATGTTGCTTCTCTGACTTATTTTATTAGTTATAATATGGTGTATTGTTGAAAGTACGTCAGCCACCACCCTAAAGATGGCGCCTAGTACAGAAGCAGGTTGACCCTGAAAGTCCCGTGACCTATCTACAGTCACGGTTGCTTCTAAAGTAACGTCACTTCCGCCCTTACCATGCCCATACCTCCTGTCTTCCTTTCCCACACCTATCATGGACGTCACCTCACTTCCTCCCTTGCTGTCATTTCCTTCCCCGCCCCTGTCATGGCTGCCTCCATCATGAGGCCTACCCCTATCATGCTCGTCCTATTTAGAGACATTACACTCTACATATTATGAACTGAAACGTTATATTAACTAAAACAATCATGCCATTTGTTTCCCTGTATCAGAGATGTGTCCGTGATATTTAAAAAAAAAAAAAAAAAACAGCTAATTATCCTGATGATTATTCATTAATGCCTGTGTCTTGCAACAAGGGATATTGCAAATTAATGCAAGTTATTTTAAACATTGTATCTTTACTTAATAGAATCTTGCTAGTTAAAAATCGTATGTTTACAGTAACATCCTTCACGTTAAATGACATTCCCCCGCCACCTTTACCTATGCTTGCCTCTCGTCCCCTCTCCACCTCGACTGACCCCTCCCCAGTGTTACCCACTCACCCGTCTCCATCCGCTGCCCCGCTCTCTGCCCTCTCGACCTTACTCACCCCACCGCCCCAGATCCTCCAGACCCTTGTCCTCCCGCTGATCCCGCTTCCCTTATGCCTCCGGACCTCCCTTCTACCTCGTTGTCCCCTCCCCTCCCGACTGATTTGCCGTCCCTAATCTCTGCCCTCACTGCCCTGACCCAGCCCCCCCGTTCCCACCCCTCCAACCCCTTCTCCAGTGTTACCTCCTCCTCCCGAAGTCCCGGCCCCCTCTACCTCGTTGCCTCCTCCTCCTCCCTCGGCCGATTTGCCGTCCCTGATTTCTGCCCTCACCGCCCTGACCCAACCCCCCCCGTTACCACCCCTCCAACCCCTTCTCCAGTGTTACCTCCTCCTCCCGAAGTCCCGGCCCCCTCTACCTCGTTGCCTCCTCCTCCCTCGGCCGATTTGCCGTCCCTAATCTCTGCCCTCACCGCCCTGACCCAACCCCCCGTTACCACTCCTCCAACCCCTTCTCCAGTGTTACCTCCTCCTCCCGAAGTCCCGGCCCCCTCTACCTTGTTGTCTCCTCCTCCCCCGACTGGTTTGCCATCCCAACCCTCCACCCACGCTATTACGACACAGCCCCCTGGTCCCATCCCTCCGACCCCTCCCCCGGTGACCCCTGACCCATCCACGGCCAATGACCTGTCTAGCTCGATATCCGCCCTCTTCTCTGCTGTTACCTCCCTGGTTAATTCCGCGATTCCTGCCCCGCCTCCCACTGATTTACCACCTCCTCCCTCTGATCCTCCAACCCCTTCTCCGCCCCCGGCTAACGTCCCCGAGCCTTCCGATCCAATCTCTGCCCTTGCTCACGTCCTTAATACTCACCTATCACGCCCATCCCAGCCGGCCCCCTGCTTTAGAGGCCCGTGCATACCCTCCAGCTCATGCTGATGGGTTTGACACGGGTGGTTTCCGAGATATTCAGCCCCTACCTCGACAAAGCCGCCTTGCCCGTGCTCCTATGCAGTCCAGCCACCCTCCCACTTCTACCCGCCGGTACCAAGGACCCGACCAGGCCCATTTAGATTTACTGCGATAGGTTACCGGCAAGCCTGTGTCAGCAACCCCTGCCATGACCCCTCCTTTTTGTCAGACACCGATGTCTCCTGTGTTGGGGTGGATGGTACACCCCGCAGTAGCCCCCTCACTACACTCCTGCATGTTGGTTCATACATACTCTCACGTTTTGTTGTTTCTTCTACTTGTCCCATTAACCTCTTGGGTGCTGATGTTCTTTCTCAGCTCCAGGGTCCAGTTAACTACACCCTTATCACAGACAGACACCACTGTACTCTGCTCACTCCCCATCTTGTTGAACCTAACTGACAATACAGGGAGTGCACGGGTCACACCCCCCCCCAGTGCTCTGGATCGTATCCCCCAAGAACTTTGGTCCACCGGCCCGGATGATATTGGACGCTTACGTGTACCCCCCGTCCTGGTCCAGCTCCTGCCTGGAGCACTTCCTCCTCGTAGACCTCAGTATCCTCTGAAGCCAGCACAAGCTGAAGCCATCACCAAACAAGTTGAGTCTCTGCTTGCCAAAGGTGCCCTCACCAAGTGCACATCTCCATGCAACACCCCACTTTTCCCTGTTAAAAAGTGAACTGTTAAGGGCCAACCCGACCAGTACCGCATGGTACAGGACCTCCGTGCTGTTAAAGAAGTAACCATACTTCTGCTATTGTTCCAAACCCCCATACCCTTTTGTCCCAGGTGCCACCCAATACAACAATTTTTTTCTGTAGTGGATCTAGCTAATGCCTTTTTTAGTGTCCCCCTTGACCCTTCCTGCTATTTTCTCTTCGCCTTCACACATGAAGGACAACAATATACCTGGACTGTTATGCCTCAGGGAGCTCAGAACTCTCCCACACAGTTTGCTCATGCCATGTCTCTAGTTTTGGATCCCTGGCAGAAATCTCATCTGGATGTTATTCTACTTCAATATGTTGATGACCTCCTTCTCTGTGCTCCTAATTTGCTTATTGCAGAGCGTGACTCAGAAGATCTCCTATGTTTCCTCGCTGCTGCAGGGTGCAAGGCCTCAAAATCAAAGCTACAATGGTGCCGGCCCTCTGTGGTCTTCTTGGGACATTGCCTTTCCCATGGCACCAAACATCTAACCTCACAACGGGTGCAAGCTATCCTGCAACTCCCATTACCTGCAACTCATCACTCTCTTCATGCTTTCTTGGGACTCATCACATACTGCAGGTCCTGGATACCTGAAGCATCCAAACTCATGCAGCCACTCTATGATGCCCTCAGGAGTGAGCCCTTTCATCTCACTGAAGAAACTATTAACTGTTTCCATACTCTGAAAAGAGCCATTGCTTCTGCACCTGCTTTGGGCCTCCCCAACTACCAACTCTCTTTCAATTTGTTTGTCTCTGAGAAATCAGGACATGCTTCCGGAGTCCTTACTCAGAAACATGGGTACAGACAACGGCCTATTGGCTATTTTTCCTGCATGCTTGACCCTGTTGCAAGGGGCAGCCCCTCTTGCCTCCGTGCTGTGTTTGCCGCCAGTGCCCTCTTGGACAAGACTAATGACTTTGTTCTTGGCCATCACCTCACAGTGTTGGCCCCTCATGACATTACTGCTATCCTGCAACAAGTTCAACCCAAGCACCTTTCCTCCCAACGCCACCTCCGCCTGCAAACCTCCTTGCTTTTACCTGACAATGTGAAACTCCAGAGATGCCTTACCCTGAATCCAGCCACTCTTCTGCCACTTCCCAAGGGGGGAATTGTGTACCACCGGTATAGCCTGGATATCAACCCAGAAGTTCTAGCAGATCTGCAACTACCTGCACTTGCACCTCCACATGATGAACAATCAGTGGCCCTACTCCACTGTACTTTGTGGGTTAGGGATGAACCAGGCCCTGATATGAACTATGAGGCAGAAGTATTCCAACTCAAAGAAATCCAAATTACCCTGACTGACTTGTTTTGGGACCTCACAGGTACCATGCTCATCCTAGTCCACCTCCCAGAGAGTGTGACACATCTCTATCACCATTGGGAAACATCTATCCCACACATATCTCTCACCAGACCTCCCGACATCTCGTGGAAAGACCTAGGCCCGATGGCCAAGACCTGGAGTCAAATGAACCAAGAACAACTGACTTCTATGGGGACCAGCAAAAAGACTATTAACTACTGTACAGCAGGGTACCCTAGGTACCACACAGACGTCTGTGAGGACCCACTCATCATAGACTGTGACCCTGATATTTCCCCACTTAGCTGATCAGGCCGCTAAGGAAGCAGCACGACAAGGATGGGAAGTGGACAGAAGAGTGGCCACAGATGCAGTACCCATCTACACTATGCAAACACTGCCTACGGATCTTAGGTTTCTGAAGGAACAACGAGCTGCTGCTACTCCCCAGGAGAAACAAAGTTGGAGGAACAAAGGAGCTGTACTCCGTGATGATGTTTACACTATCAATCTCAAGTTTTGCCTACCCAGAATTATGTATCCAGCGGTGGTCCAATGGGCCCATGGGCCAGCCCACCTGTCAAAACATCTGATGAACTCATTGATTGACAAGTATTTTGAAGCACCAGGCATCACTACCTTAACACAGAATTACTGTAAATCTTGTACTATATGTGCTAAATGCAATCCTGGAAAGATTATAAAGACTGCACCTAATCATCTAGCTAAACCACAATACCCCTTCCAGAGGATCCAGATTGATCACATTCAGATGCCAAAGAGTGGACGTTATGAATATGCATTGGTCATAGTGGACATGTTTTCAGGATGGCCAGAGGCCTTCCCAGTGACTAATCTCACCGCGAGGACTACAGCCAAGTATCTCTTGACAGAAATTGTTTGCCGCTATGGAGTTCCAGAAGTGATTGAAAGTGACCAAGGGACCTCCTTCACTGCCTCGCTAACACGGGAAGTCTGGCCAGCACTGGGGGTGACCCTTGCATTCCACACACCATATCACCCACAGAGTAGTGGTAAGGTAGAGCGCATGAATGGCACTTTGAAAGCCAGAATGCTTAAAATGTCACAAGAAACTAACATGCCCTGGCCCGAGAGTCTCCCATTAGCGTTGTTTAGTGTAAGGTACACTCCTAGGGGAAAATATAGCCTATCACCTTATGAGATTTTGTTTGGTACAGCACCCAGGTTAGGTTGTTACTTTCCCCAACAGCTTCAGATTCAGTCAGACGCTATGGTAGACTATGTGACTGCCCTCTCACATGCCTTGACCAAAATACATGCCCAAGTGTTTTCTTCTATTCCAGATCCTGAGTCAAATACAGGTACACACAAGCTGCTTCCTGGTGATTGGGTTATGGTCAAGAAGTTTCTCAGGAAACACACCCTAGAACCAAGATTTGATGGCCCATATCAAGTGCTCCTGATTACAGCAACGTCAGTTAAACTAGCCGGGAAGAGTTCTTGGATACACGCCTCACATTACAAAAAAGTGCCTGCTCCAGAAGAGGCTAATCTTGCTGAAATATGAATTTATTATGTGTCTTGTGTTTTCTTATGCTGCTACACTTTGCCTGGGCCCAACAAGCGGCCATAACCAAAGATAATCATGTTTACACTTTTCTGGTACAATTCTTCTAACACAGATGTAGCTACATACACCTTTGATTACTGTGACATAGTTGTTTGCACCTTTTCCACAAACACAATATGCAGCCATATACAAAGACATACCTAGCAAAAAGGCTCACCTCACCAGACTGGGTAGGAACCACTCACATGACTATTAACACGTTAAAACCACATATTAAGACTCTACATGACATGGTAGCTATAGCCAATCCCACCTTTGAAGACACTATGACAGTAGAGACTGGGTTTTCAGACACTAATTTGTGGCTAGAATGGATGAGATATAACGCCAACTCACATAATAAGACTAACTGTTATGTATGTGGAGGAGCCAGGCCCCATCTGGGCACAGTACCTCTAAGCCTACCTCCTGAAGTAGAATTATGTGTTCTGAGTCTTTATGCACAATCCACCACCAACTCCTCAACATGTGAATCATGGAAAAGGGTTTACCCAATCACTCATGGATATGTCAAGCCACCTGATGGAGTCACCGTGTATCCAGGTAATTACACATGTTATGCTATACCTAAGAATACTGGTGTGTATCTGGGCAGATTTCCATCTGGATATTGCTCAACCTACCATAGCCCACCTGTGTCACTGCTAATAAATCATGCAAAGACCATTGGAGATATCTATTGGTTATGTGGTGACAGACAATTGAGGTCCCAATTAGCTGAGCAATGGTGGGGGGAGTGCGCCCTAACCAAAGTCATAATGCCTATCCACATTATTCCAGATGGTAGTCATAACACGTTAAACCTTATACATGTACACTCTAGAACCAAACGAGGGGCTCCTATCGGAGGGAGCTTTGACCCCCATGTGTATATTGATGCCATAGGTGTGCCAAGGGGGGTGCCTAAAGAATACAAAGCAAGAGATGAAGTGGCTGCAGGATTTGAATCCCTAATTCCAATGATAATTTCTAACAAAAATGTCAATTGGATTAACTACATTTACTAT